GCGTGGTGAAAGTTGGGCAGCACGCTAACGTCTTTTGTCCACTCGTAAGGGTCTGACCCTTTCACTCCTTTGATTTTTTCCTCGTATCTTTTCTTTGTCTTTTCGTCGAGTCTGTCTTTGTACGGACCGGCATTGTTCTCCTTTTGTTTTGTACATTCCTTTTTTGTGCGGCAAAGAAAAACAAGAAGGTATTGGAACCGGAGAATGAACGTTTTGCGGTGCTGCAAATGCTTGCATTTGATGCGGTACTTGGATTGTTTTGCCACGAGTTCCCGGCATGCTAAACAAGGGGGCGGGTGAATCCGGCCTCCTCGGCTGTAATTGGTCCAGCCCAGAGTCGATCATGACCAATTGGCCAATCCAACACCTTTCATTATATATACCCTTCCTAAAAAAAATTTTTTAAAAATCCATCGGCCTATAAAAACAAAAAATCGCCAGCGGCCCACCGGGCAAATGCCCGGTACGCCCGATGGCCAGTCCAGCTATGATTGTGGGCATATTCCATCGTCTATTGTGAGGATTACCGTGTTTCAACCTGAGGGAGGCAGACCAGTCACAAAGTTAAGGAAAGATGTGAGACCAGGGACACCCTGGAGTGGGAAGGGGTTTGAGCAGGCCTACAGGAGGGGAACTAGCAGACTTATTCTTCACACAGGTTAAATAGACTGAAACATACTCTCTAGCATCCCTAATTAGTGTGGGTCACCAAAAGAGATTGGAGGAGAGGTTGCAGGAAAGTGAGGGTCCTCCTCCAATCATACATGAGGGGGAAGAGACAGAGCCAGATGATTCCTGGAGACCTCTGCCAGATCAGGAGAGGCAGATGGTTCATGTGGCTGTCACGGTTCTGGGTCCGTTGGACCCAGTATTTTGAGTTTTATTATGTTTGGGTTTTAGTTTGCATCGGGGATTGTTTTCTTGTTCTCTTGTTGTGTTTATGATAATGATTATGATGTTTATTATTAGAGTTCCATGTTTCTGTTTATCTGGGTTTAAGATGCGGGTTTAGTTTATATGTTATTTCCTGTCTGTCTCTCGATGTCGAGCCTGCGTGTGATGTTTTATTGTGAAGGTCTGCGTCTCATGTGAGTGTGTTCAGTTTTACCTCTGTCTCGTCTTGCTGATTGTTCCCAGCTGTGTCCACCACCTGTGTGTAATTCACGTGTTTCTCTATGTGTATTTAAGTCGTGTCCTCCGTCATTGTAGTTGCTGGTCCGTCTGTGTATTCCACCCTGCGTCATCTGTGTATCTACCATGTCACATCCGTGTGCTCTCCCTGCTGTCCATCGTCATTCTCCTCTGCTCGTTCTCATTCAGGTTTGTGCTTTGTAGTTTAGTTGTTCTCCAGTCTAGTTTAGTTCGAGCTCCGTTTGCTGTTTGTCCCTATTTATTTCATGTTCAATAAACCACCTTCACTTCTCCACTACTGCCTGCGATTGGATCCTCATTTATTATTTTCACACGGCTCTCCTCACCCGCCGTGACAGTGGCAGTCATTACTTCAACAGGAGATGCAATCCTTTCTCCAATCGATACAGGGGTTGTGTAGTTGTAGCTAAGGATGGCCCAAAACTATGGCGTTATTTTTGTGCCTCTATTCTGAGCGTACGTAAATAATTTTTGCAAGTAAAAATATTGCATTTTAAGGAGAATATTTTGTGTGAACAAAATTCATTGCTGCGTGCAAGAAATGTATTTCAGTGTTTGCTACTATCCATATACATGCACAATTACAGCCCTCTCCCTCAGTTGTTGGCATTTGCTCTTGCTCAGATCTCTGCTCTGTGTGCTGACAGACATCTGTGGACCTGCTCTCAGAGTGTCACTCCAGCTCTCAACATCTCTGCTCCCTGCACGCTCAACTCTTTCTGTACTCCGTTATAAATGTGCCACAAAACCAACCACTCACAGACTTGGATGCAAAAATTCTGATTGGTTGTTGTGGTCTCCAATCGGCTCGCTATTGACTGCATTCCGGAAACACTGTCCAAAGTTTAGCTAAAACCATTTTCGGTTAGCATGTTATTTTATTTTATTGTAAAATATATCATTTTTTTAAGACCATCGTTGGTTTTAATATATTTAAAACCAAACCACTCCACTGGATTTATCTACATTTATCTACTACAAGCTTTTCTTCACTCAAAATAATTTTCTCCTCAAAATGCAACATTTGTTCTTGCAAAAATTATTTACGTGCGCTCAGAATAGAGGCTCAAAAATAATGCCATACAAACGCTCTGTGTGATTACTAGAAAGGGATAGGGTTTGGGTTTGGTTCTAAGAGTGACATCGGGCAAGTGTTGACCATTTCAAACTGTGATCTGGATGGCACGAGGCTGAGTTTGGAAATATTTCATTTTTGTGCCAGGGAGTTATCAATGAAACACTGCTCTACACCCAAATCAATAAGCGCTTGGACAGAGTGGGTCTTCCCATGAATCATGAGGTGCAGAGGACTGAGAGAGCCAGAGATTTTGCCCACCAGTACTTGTTCCTTTACAGGTGGGCGTAACCTTTTGGCCAAATAGGACAGGCGTAGATGTAATGACTCCTTTTGTTTAAAATGTGTAATAATTACTTTTTTGAATAATGACCCCAACACTGATCACAACAAAAAAGGCAAATGCCTCCAACATGCCCAAACATTTGACCACACAACATGCAATTAATTTGAACAAATGCAAGGTCTATGTTGTTTAGCAATGGTGGTGATGCTCAAAGCTGAGCCATGGAGAATCCGTAAGGAAATGAATCAATAAGTGATATTGACAATGCAATCAGTTGTTATCAATCATTATTAATGTCCATCCCTACTGATGTGTGTTTTTAGGCTATATAGTCTACTACAGTATTTGGTCATGATGGAATTTTGTTTGGCAGGTCCTGCAATCCCTGTTGGAGTGGATGTTCAGGTGGAGAGCTTGGACAGCATCTCTGAAGTTGATATGGTAAGCTGGCTACACACCACAAAGAGCAAAGAGGCAGCCCTGTTACCAAGGTGGTGAGCTGAGGTTGGGTGAAAGAAAACATGTGAAACAACTTATGAAAAGAGAGAAACAACCATGTTATCCCTTAGGTAAAAGATCTACCCATGAAAATCAGGACAATGTTCTCCAAGCACGACATCCCAGTACACTTCAGTCCTAGCCACACCATCAGACAAAAACTGGTTCA